GACGTTCTCTGCAGTTTCCTGGACACTAAAACAACAGCCTCACCTGTCAAGAAGGGTGATTCCATGAACGGTAAGTGACAGTGTGATGAAGATCTGCCAGGATTTCGCTGTTTATTTTCTATCAGAAGCTAATGCAGGATATAGGTGTAGGAGACTATTTTCATGTTCAGCCTGCATGAAAAACTCAGAAATGCTTTTTGGGTGTTCCACACCTTTAATATTACAGTTCTTTGTTTCACACACAAAACAAACAGCACAGATGCATGAAAACCCCTTAAAGTCAATGCTGCTGTTGCTTTATTTACTCATTTGGTGCAGCACTTTTAGCTAACGCAGTTTAACCCTTATACGACCTTAGTGCATTTTTTTGAGCTCATAGGACAAAAACGTTAGAAAATTAAAGGGTTATATAAGGGTTAAACATGAACATTTATTCCTTTTTATTAAATCATTTTAGGAATTCGCATTCTTTATATGGTGATTTTAATGGTTTACACATGTTCCTTCCAAGTCACCAATGGTTTGATTCACTTGCTTTTGGCTATAAACAGATTTAAAAAGTAGAAAAGTAAACTAACCCTGATATGATTTCAAGATGTTGGTATTTCTAATTACTGTGACGTATAAATACATAAGAAAAACAACTGAGTTAGGGATTTGTCATGTATTTCATTTAACCCTCCCACTGTCCTAATGGGTGTGACCCCACGAGGAAAGTTGACCATTGAGCAGGGCTGATGGTTTATCCCTTGGGTCCATGTGGCAGGAGTGAGGAGTGAGCACCACCTCACCCCTGCCACGTGGACCTCAAGGGATAAACCATCAATCCTGCTCAATGGTCAACTTTCCACACGGGGTCACCCGTAAAGACAGTGGGAGGGTTGATAATGTTCTTGGAGTGTTAATAATTGATACAAACACTTTCACATAAGGTGTGATTGAGATCAGTATCTGTATTCAAAAGGAAATTTGATGCAGCTTACTTTTAAAACGTGACAAAAAAGTGTTTTTACAACCTGAGGTGTGTGTCAAAGTGCCCTTCCTTAACCTTCTTGTGATTTTCTGTCCAGCTTTCCACGTGTTTTAAAGATGGATTGTTACTTATTCACTATGTAATTGTACACCTGCTTCGTGAGCATCATAGCCCAGCATGCTTGATATAAACATACTTTTTTTTCTCATATATCTCATAAAAGTAAAAAGGTGAGTCAGGGTTGGTCGGACTAATCTGTGTCTGTGATGATCGATTTTCTAAAATCCCTGCTCACAAGAATGCTAATGGGTAAGATAGTCATTACTTTGATTTAATTTTTTCTAAAGAAGAAGAAGAAAATATCATTTCTATAGCACCTCTCAAGATAAAAATCACGAGGCGCTTCACAAAAACAAAAAATGCTAATTGTAAAAAAGAATTTAGAAAATGATTAAAAATATATTTAAAATGAGCAAAAAATAGACAATTGTGATTAAAAATGTAAAGAAAGAGAGAGTGTGAATAGGAAAGAGGGAAATCAGTGGATCCTGAGGATGGTGGAATAGGTAGGGAGAGCAGAACAAGGAGAGGGTGATCAAGGTCACTCCAAATATAACAACACACCTCAAAATAGTCCAAAAATCCATTTAAATACAAAACAATCAACACGTAGTCTTTGCAAGATTTTATTGAATACTTTCAAATTTTATCTTCAAACCAGCTAATAATTACAGCTTAAATACGATGTAATATTGATAAATAAATGAAGAATTAAACATATAATACAATAACTTTTACTAATAGATAGGTGTACAGTTTTTGCTGCAAACTCATTCGTTACTTAACCTCTTCAGTGTCGTGTTTATTATAGATTTAATTTTTGGTAAATAGTATGATCTTGTTTTGATATGTATTGCATTTTTTGCCAAATCTACATGTACATGTGGTGCTGTTTTCCATCACAGCAGCACACATGCTCCACTTTTGGCCTCCACGTAGTTTGGGTCGAGATCGCTGGGCAGCTTGCCGTTTTCTCCCCAGATGTTCAGTTCTCCAAAAACACCTGTCTCGACCATCTCCTCCTGCCAGGGGATTGGGATGTTACCAGAGGCAAAATCCTTGTAGAAGTCTGTGTCCTTGTCATCCAGGACCACACCTTTGATGGTGCTAAAGGCGCCCACGTCGCCTATATCTTTAGCATACACCATCTTTGGATCAGGGACAAATGGGGGAGGTAGCATACCTTAAGACAAACACAAGAGAGATGTAGAAAAACTGAACTTTGGTGGAGTTTTTGATCAACGTATGCTGATGATTTTATGCACCTGCTTCCAGACGGCCCCAAGTAATGTCTTTAAAAAAGGGCTGATTTTTGAGCTCTTTACATTCATTATCTTTAATCCCCAGTCGTTTCGCAGGGTCCTTCTCCATCAGGCCTTCACAGAGGTCCTTACATTCCTTGCTGAAGCTTGGTGTGTATGAAACTGGATCATTTATGATTCTTCGGTTCACTTCTTCATTCTCAACCTGAAGAAAAGGTTATAAAACATGACAGCAGAGGCCTGGACAAGATCTAGCAGACTGAGAGTTGTACCTTTTCTCCTCGCACCCGGAAAGGTCCTTTGGCAGCGATCATCTCGTACAGTGTGACACCCAGAGTAAAGTAGTCCACGGTGTAGTCATAGTCCTTCTTCTGGATCAGCTCCGGAGCCATGAAACCTTGGGTCATTGGTGCACAATATAGATGTTTTACAGAGAAGAGAATTGTGTTCACTCATCTTGATTTTAGTTTATTCATTGTTTAGTTACCTGGGGTTCCAGCATATCCAGTAGTTTTCTCTTGTCCTGGTGGAAGTTCAACAGCCAGACCCAAGTCTGACAGTCGCACATGCCCTGTTGGTAAAAATTACAACCATGCTTATAATAAATAATCAATCTCGGTGCTTTTTGCACACTTTATTAGCCCGATTAAAGACCATTTGAACTCAAAGTCTTGTGAAATCTTCACAGCTTATCGCTACTTGCTACTAGCATTATGATCAGGGCCACAGCGTTGCTTATCCAGGTTATTTCAGCTGCTGTACAGATAGATACCCACACCCACCCATAACCTTTTCTCCACTTATTGTTCATGACTTAAAATCAAAGGTGTGGGAGTAGAGGTGTGACTTTGGAGCTCAAACAAAAGCAGATCCATTGTTGCTGAAATTTTCCACCTGCGTCATCCAGCAGCACGTTCTCTGGCTTCAGATCTCTGTAGATGATTCTGTGCTGATGGAGGTGCTCCAGCCCACAGATGATCTGGGCTGTGTAGAATCGAGCTCTCTTCTCATCAAAACCAGGATTTTTTTCATCCACGTCATACATATGAAACCTGCACGGTGTATATTTCAGGTTAATAGCAGGAAAACTTCTTTCGAGCAAAAATGAGTTTGAGGTTGTTTTGTTAGTTTCTGTGCTGTATTGAGAGTTAATATTGAGCACCTGAGATCTCCTCCATTCATGATGGTCATGACCAGGCACAGGTCAGTTTTGGTCTGGAAGGCGTAAGCCAACGTCACAATGAAGCGACTGTGAACTTTTGCCAGAATTCGTTTCTCCACGATCGCTCCCTAAACATAGATCAAAGACATCCGGAGTATGAATCATCTGATTTCACAGAATTGCGTGCGCCCTCACCTACTGTTCAGTCTGACAGTTTGTGATTGGTTTTGATTAATGATGTGTCAAATGTAAGTCTTGGTGTTTATTATGGGAGGTGACACACGTGAGTAAATGCTGCCATTTAACAGAGTTGTGTCATCTCAACTGTTGTCACATAGAAAATATTTATTTTTGTATTTGTGCTGTGATAAATATGTGTGTGTGTTTCCAAAGAAAATCCATATTAGATATTTAAAGAAATTGTGGTGGAATAAGTTTCAGGATTTTTTTGCCCTGGAAGGAGAACTCGAAAGCATTTGATGCTTTTGGAGTGTGGGAGAAATTTCTCTTATTTAAATATAATTTAAAGAAGTGATAGAAGGAGCATTTTAATGGTTTTTATGTGTTTGAAAAAAGTGTCATCGGTTTCTACGTCACTACAATTAGATATGTTATAATTTCAGACAACTTAAAGTTTGCTCAAATTCTTAAAAAGGGGATAAATAAATTAATTTTATTTAAGGTAAAATATAAAATCATTATATGCAATAAAAGTTAAACAAGTTAAAAGTATCCCCTAAACTGAAAGATATGATCGATGAGTCTTTGAAACATTACTGCTTTACCTGGTATCCTTTGCGTTTCTTCAGCCTCTTCTTCTCCAGTTTCTTATTGGCGTACATCTTGCCAGTTGCTTTTGCCTGACAGGCAAAGACTTCCCCAAAACCTCCTTTCCCTAGGACCCTGAAGTCCATGAACCAGTCTTCATCTACGGGCTGGCTCTCCAGCCATTTAAATTGAATAAAACGCAGGAAGTACATGCTGTTCTTGAAGCCCCCCAAGGCCTCCTTCTCCAGGTGTTTGATCAGCTGTTTCTCGCTCTCTTTAAACAGGTCCTCACGTACATTCTTTAGGTCTTCTTTAACTCGAATGACAGCTTTCTCCTCAAGGAAACTGCAAAAAGTCTTTGAACTTGACTCATAGTAAGTGTTGACCATTTTCCGAGCCTTCTGCAACCTGTCCTGCTCCAGGCATGTGTTGTAGTCTTCGATGTCTTTCCACAGCTCTGCTGCACTTTTGTGAGCCGCATTACTGTCCAGGAACTGCTGGAACAGACGTTTGCCGATCGGCTGTTTGATACACATGCTCTGAAATGTTGAATCTACAGTCGCCTTCATGTGTTGACAGTCTCTGATGTTTGGAAGTTTGAGCCTGGCACGCATCTTCTTGTCTCGCATGGCAGCCGCTGCGTTTCCATCCATGCTGCCACGGGCCGATACGTAGGCAGAGTTTGCCACAACGGTTTCCAAACCACCAATGTCCATGGCTAAAACAAGACAAGAAGAAATTTTCACTTTGATGGAGTGGGTTTTAATTATAGACCATACATTATCCATTATTGCAGCAAAGTCACTCCTGAATCACAAGTCATGGCTCAAACATTTCTGAACATTTGAGTAGAGGCTTATGGTTATGGCTAAGACATTATCATTTACATCAGATATTGCACAGAAATTGATAATGTTTTTATAAAGAGAAAGTACAATACTTGTGGAAAGTACAAACTATTCTGTCTGTACTATTGGCTTCTTGCATTGAAACACAGTGCATTGGACAGTTAAAGGGGACATATTGCACAATGCTCACCTTTTGGGCTACCATGGGTCTATACTGCCTCTATAAACACTTTAAACATGGAAAGGAAATTAGACATAAAGTGCCCAATAGATGCTGGTTTGAGTTAAAGGTGCAATGTGTAAGAATTACATACCATGGTCAAGTTAAGTAACTGCAGTAAATTTCCCTGAGCAATTAAATATTCCTGTCACTGCCTTTCCATGGCCTAATCCCAATACTTGCAATCGTACACTTGCACCCTTCAATTGCGCAATCCCGTCCAGAGGTGCGAGTCCGTAGGGTGTCCCAATTCCGAGAGTGCGTAGGTTGATCACGCCCCTTTTGCACCCTTGATCCGTACTTCACCCAAGGACCCGCAACAGGACAGGCTCAAATGCCTTTTCTGAAAATAAGTATTTGCAAACTAATGTAGTTCATCTTAGGTGTGTTCTTGCTGTGTCTTTGTAAATCCATGCTTTCATTCTTTTTTAAACACAGAAACAGTTTTGTTTACCTGTTTGTAGCTACGGTTTCGCCGACAGCTGCCGGCTTCTTCAGGCTGACGCTGATGGTGGCGCGTCACTTCCTTCTCCGTTTATCTGCGGGCAGCAGAGGACGTTGTCGCCCTCTACTGCCCGCTCTCCCCTCTCCGACGATGCAGTCACATGCGTGGTCCAGCGTGTAAACTCCGTCGTCCCTGTTCATGGTCCCACATCCACGTCTCCTTATCTCTATTGCTTCCTTGATCCATCTTTTGTATTTTTGTTGTTCAGTGGTTATGATCCGTGTGTTATCCCAGTCCATTATATGGTTTTCTCTTAAGCAATGTTCTGTTACGGCTGACTTTTTTATTGTACTTTCTGCTTCTTCTTTTGCTGCTCTTGTGTGTTTACGATTTGCCTCTTTCTCACACTCCTTTCTGTGTTCTATTGTCCGTGTATTGAGTTGGCGTCCGGTTTCTCCTATGTATGTTTTATTGCATATTTTGCATGGGATTTCGTAGATGACTCCACATTTTTGTCCAGCTGATATTTTGTCTTTTGGGTGTACTAGTCTATTTCTAACTGTTGTGTATGGCTTTGTTGGTGTGTTTATGTTGTGTTTTTTCATTGTTGCTCTTATTTTTTCCGTTATGCCTCTGATGTATGGTAGGGTTATCACTGGTTTTGGTTCTTGTCTTTCTGGGTTTCTGGTTCTTTTTTTGGGTTGTTCTTTGCTTTCTGTTTTTGTTTGTTGTTTTCCTTTGTTTATTGCCCATGTCGGGTATCTGCAGGTCTTTAAAGCGTGTTGTATGTGTTTGTCCTCTTGTTTACGGTCTCTCTCTTCTGTTATTATGTTTGCTCGGTGATATAATGTTCTGATTACTGACATTTTGTGTATGGTGGGGTGTTCTGATGTCCATAATAGATATTGGTCTGTGTGTGTTGGTTTCCTGTATGTGTTTATGTTTAGGGTCCCGTCGGTCTGCCTGGTGATTTTCATGTCCATAAATGCTATGCTGCCTTCTGTTTCTAACTCATAAGTGAATTTTATGTTGCCTGTGTCGTCAATATTGTTTAAGTGTTGTGTTAGTGTTTCTGTTTGACCTTTTGGTATGATTTCCAGTATGTCGTCTATGTAGCGTTTCCATAGTTTTATTTTGCAGTTTGGGGGGGCGGTGGCTATGGCTTTTTGTTCCAGGTCTTCCATGAAAAACTCGCACAGGGTGGCTGATAACGGGTTACCCATGGCGAAGCCTTCCAGTTGTTTGTATATTGTGTTGTCGTATGTGAAGTAAGTGGAGTTAGCTACCAGTCCTATCAGTTGTGCTATGTCATCTGCTGTGAGGTTTGTCCTTTTATGTAAAGTTTTGTCTTGTCTGATTCTGTTAACTACTATGTCTATGGTTTTTTGGGTTGGTGTTTTTGTGAACAGAGATGTGACGTCATGTGAGATGAGTATGTCGTTGTCTTCTATTGTAATTTCCTTTAGTTCTTTTGCCAATTCTATGCTATTTTTGCAGTGTTGGTCTGTATTTCCTAATAACGGGCTGATGATTCTGCTGATATCTTTTGCCATGTTGTATGTTGGTGTACCTATGCTGTCAACTATTGGTCTAAGTGGGGTGTTTTGTTTATGTATTTTTGGTGTTCCATATATTCTTGGTGTTATGTTTGCTGTGGGAATCCAGTGTTTGTACATTTTTTCTGTTTTGTTTCCTGCTGCCCGCAGATAAACGGAGAAGGAAGTGACGCGCCACCATCAGCGTCAGCCTGAAGAAGCCGGCAGCTGTCGGCGAAACCGTAGCTACAAACAGGTAAACAAAACTGTTTCTGTGTTTAAAAAAGAACGAAAGCATAGATAATGTAGTTCATTTTAGGACAAATAACTGATACTCTGAATGTTTTAGACAAAGCAGCAATGAATGTAAATTTATTTCAAATAATTGTTTGTTTGAAAGTTGTTAATAAAGGTTTTTTTTTAAGTAGCACAACAACTAGCATCCCGGCATGTGTTGCGGTCGATGACACAATGCTCGCTGTCCCAATTTGGCAATTATTTGCACACTTGTGTACCACACAAGGGATTGGCTCATGACTTTCATTGAGTTTGCCAGTTACAGATCAATGCCAGAAGATTCCAGATAAATGAAAAGACTAGTCATACACAGTAAGTTGCACTGGAATATTCCCCAGTGCAATGAAAATTTCAAAAGTGGTGCCATTGTTGAAAGAGGGGGATAAGTGTAACTTTACTAATTATAGGCCAATCTCAGTACTTTCACAGTTTGCCAAGATTTTGGAGAAAATATTTTTAAGTAGATTGGATAATTTCATAGAGAAACATGCATTGATATCTTAGAGTCAGTACGGTTTTCGGGCAGGAAGATCTACAGCATTGGGGCCACTGGACCTAGTAGAAGATATAACAGAATGCCAGGATAAAAAGAAGTATTCGATGGGTGTGTTTTTAGACTTCAGTAAAGCTTTTGAAACAGTAAACCATAGAATACTTTTTAAAAGCTGGAGAGGTATAGAATAAGAGGTTTAGCAGCATTATGGATATATAGCTATTTGGAAAACAGACAATATGTACAGATAAATGAATTTAAATCCGAGTCAAGGACGATTAGTTGTGGAGTGCCGCAAGGATCAATATTTGGACCGAAATTATTCATACTATATGCTAATGATATAAATAAGGTTGTAGAAGATGTAAAGATAGTAACATTTGCTGATGATACAAATTTATTTGCATCAGGAGAGGACCTGCAACAGCTAGTGAATAAGGTTACACGAGGAATGAAAAAAATAAAAAGATGGTGTTACACAAATACATTAGTACTAAATTTGGGCGCAACTAAATGCGTGGTTTTTGGCTGTGGAAAAAAGCAGCAAAAAATCAAATTAATGGTAGATCAGTTTGAAATAGTACAAGTTGAACAAATAAAGTTTTTAGGTGTAATTCTGTTAGCTTGCTGTTATAGTTCCGAATAACTAAAACGCCATGATTGACTCATTATTGAATTCACACATAGAATTCACTGTAATGTTGAGTTGTTGGTAATTGAAAAAGTAGCTTGAGATATTTTTAGAGCTGACTATTTGCTTCTAATTCGCCGCTAGCATTGTTAGCTCAACTCTAGCCACTCACTCTTGCTTTTCTTCAAGTGACAGAGTCCTGAAACGGCTCTGTAGCGTTGCTCAGGCTGGAGTGTGGATGTGGGGGAGAGGCGAGCGGGCAGGACAGCGGGACCAGTGCCGAGAGTGTGCAGAAAGGCATCTGTCAGCAGCCACTCGACTCTAATGTGGACGCTTTCTACTGCAGCCTTAAAATTAGACAGTGGAGGAGAGTAAAGGTTGGTTTATGCTTGACGCGTCTGCGAGGTCCGCACGGCTCCGCGCGGAAAAGTTGCGTCATTTTAACAACCACGCCCCTCCACCGCGTCTCCGCACGGCCCAAAATTTCCGCAATGTGCACCTAGGAAATTTTCTAACCACACGGATGGTCGGATGCGGAAAAACACGGCGGACTGGCAAGAACTAGTATGGCAGAGGTTCTTAAATACAGACATTTGTATGATTCAGCTCTCAGAGATCACCGTGATCAACTTGTTGTTAATAATTCTTGGAGAGAAATAGCTCGCACTGTCAGAAAAGACGAGGACGCTGTTAAAAAATGCTGGAATGCCATGTTGTAAACAGTCATTTCTACTTCTACTATGGTGTAGTGTTGGATGCATGCCGTAGAGCTCCATGCTGCCCCATTCAGTTTGGGAGAATATTGGCTCACCGCAGAGACAAGCCGCATGAACCATAAACGCTGCGAGTTGTGAAGCGCGTTCCAGCCACGAGCCGCATCACCAAGCGGAAAGTAAATGCGTCAAGCACAAACCAAGCTTAAGCCAGAAGGAGTGACTCAATAAAGCCTTTTGTTGTCTCCAACTGTGTGTGTGCTGTCTTTGTGTGACCCTGAGTAGCTGGAACTGATGCCGGCTCATTCTGGAAGGTACTGAAACTGTCAAGAATGAAACTGCTGACATAGCTTTATGTGAGAGGGATTTAGTTTGGTATCAACCACAGAAGTGTATGTAAAAATAAGTAACAATTAGATTAGCATTTGAAATATTTCCATACCTTCCCAAGTAGGAAAAACATCATATTAGGACCTACACACTCTGTCAGATGAAGCGTAGCATTGTTGATGTGTTAAATTACACATGTGGTTTACTTTGGTAACTGCTTTTACATCTGCTGTAAATCATTTTGGGAAAAGAAAAAAAATTGACCTGAGATGAAAGCTAAGATATAAATCTGAGCACCATGCTCTCGAATGTAGATATCTGATCGTTCTCTTAGAAAATAACACAATGTTCTGTTTTTCCTCTGCCTCTTTTTCTGACAGTTGTTGTAAATCTCTGTTCCTCACCTTTGAGTGACCTCTTCTCCCATGTTTTCTTCTGTGTAAAGTTCCTTTTAGCTCAGTTTAAACACATTCGGTCTATTATATGGCATCAATTCCCAGCAAAAGTCATCCAGTTACATTACTTATTACAATTCATTCCCAAACAGTCCGATAAAATTCTGTTCAGAACATCAGATCATTATTGTACATTAGTCTGGTGGAGTTAATACAAAGATGCCAAAGAGTAAAATATTTTCTCCTAATTTACTGTCATCATTTTGGTCTTTGGTTAATGATTGCAGTGAAAAGCATTTTCATGTAAATTAATCTTTAAATGTGGTTTGATATTAATCTTACAAGCACACACAGGACACTAGAAGATAAAATTCAACTACTGGTTTTAGTTTTGAAAAGTAAACAAAAAGCTTCACTTGCAGATAAATAATTAAATTGTTTTGGTCAAAAGAAAAAGCTGTCATTAGACGTGAGCATACATCCTTGCTTTGTTTCAAATCTGACTGATTCTCAAAGTAACCT